TCGTACGTATCTCGTGTTCTCTTCATCATGGGCATGGGTCGATGGTGGTGGGTTTCGGACTTGAACTCTCGTGCTCCGACCTTAGCTCAGTTGGAAGAGCGCAAGACTGTAACGGATAACTTTCTCAGGCATCTTGATGTCGCCTGTTCGAGCCAGGCAGGTCGGACGTGTGCTGACAGCGCGCCTTGACACAATTTTTGTTACATGTCCTTTTATTTCGAGCTACGTTGTACGTTACCTGTGGCGCCCTTGAGTAGGTGTTGCCCACGTGTAATTAACCGACCTTAGCTCAGTTGGAAGAGCGCAAGACTGTAACGGTTAATTTCAAAGATCATCTTGATGTCGCCTGTTCGAGCCAGGCAGGTCGGACGTGCATTGCCAGGGCGCCATGACAAAATTTTTGTTACATGTCCTTTTATTTCGAGCTACGTTGTACGTTACCTGTGGCGCACTTGAGTAGGTGTTGCCCACTTGTAATTAACCGACCTTAGCTCAGTTGGAAGAGCGCAAGACTGTAAAGGTTAATTTCAAAAATCATCTTGATGTCGCCTGTTCGAGCCAGGCAGGTCGGAATACCTTCGCCTCATCTACTGTATATTTTTCTTCCCTCGAACTCACTTCCCATCCAATCCAGTCCCGGATGCAGCGTCCGACCTTCTTCAGTGATCCATTTATAACATGTACACATTGTTTTTCATAGTTGTGGCTATTGGCTACTTGATGTCGTCTAATTGTCTACATACCACAGTATGTTCGTTTGAAAGAGATGTCCAGAGATATGCATAATGATAATACAAACAGCGGAAGAGAAGGAAATGATACCACTGGCGATAGTGATCATGAGACTGGTGACGGGACTCTAGAGCACCGCGACGTTGCCGGTCTCTGCCCACTCCCCGAACAGCAAGCTGATGGACTCGCCGTTATGCGTCCTCCGCACACTCTCAGCAATGGTGGGGCTGATATCTATGGTAACCAGCTTTTGGCAGCCGCTAGCATGCTGCGTTTGTGGAATGGTGTTGGTGACCTGTCAACCAGGCGTCAATGGCGTCAGGATGGTTCTATAGCCAAGTGATTGGAATTGCCTGGACGCACCACGAGCTCTTCTATCGGTAATTGTTGAATCAGCGACATGTTCGTCTCGGATAGAAGACCTGGAGAAAGAATGAGGCTCGATCTGACATGCCAAGCGGGTTAGTCGGGCGCACCATGAGAGATCAGTGCATGCACGGATTTGGCGCCCTTTTCGTTCAGCGTCTTTGCTGCGAGTGTTAGCGTTTTGCCAGTGTCGATCATGTCGTCGACAAGGATAGCAATCTGTACAGGAGAGGTCAGCTTGATCATGGAAGAGAAAATGACTTGAAGGTGACGTACCTTGTCTTTGACATCTCCGACAAGGATATCCATTCGTTCAGGCGCTGACTGTGACTTGCCATCCCGTCCTCGGTGAATGAGCGCAAATTCCACTCCAAGTTTGTCAGCAATGGCCGTCACCCTACACCAAAAAACATAAGAACGCGCAACACGCTGCGCACAGTCACGATAGAAGCTCACCGCTTGGCGCCGCCCGCGTCAGGACTGACGATAATGCACTGCCGCCAGTCCGGAATTGCCCGCTTTATATAAGAGATCATTAGCGGCTCCGAAAACAGGTTGTCCACCGGAATGTCGAAGAAGCCCTGGATCTGGGACGCATGGAGGTCCATGGTTATGACATGGTCGCAGCCGGCGACGGTGAGCATGTTCGCGACGAGCTTTGCAGTTATCGGTGCGCGGGACTTGTCCTTCTTGTCCATGCGTGCATAGGGGAAGCACGGGATGACGGCGGTAATTCTGCGAGCGGATGCGGTCTTGCACGCAGAAATGAGGATGAGGAGCTCCATGAAGTTGTCGTTGACGTCGCTGCACCCGCTTTGGATGATGAACACATCTTCGTCGCGCACGGATTCTGATATTTTGACGTTGATCTCGCCGTTGGAGAATTTCTTGACCGTGACGGGAACGAGGGGCACGTTGAGCCTAATATGCGAACAGATCACTTGTCCGTGGACTGTCTTTTAGCTGCAACTCATGGAGAGGCAGCTCACCGCTCGGCCACGGCTTGGGCGAGCTCGGGGTGGCTATTCCCTGCAGAACATGACTTGTTAGGGGAGGGTTCACCAGTACTGAACAAAGCCACGCTTACCCGCCAGGATCCGGATAGAGTTGTTGTGATACATTGTTCAGATAGAATAAGAAAAAAGCCTGTAAGTTATTGCATGAAGAAGGGGAAGAGTATGAGTGCCGGTGTGGGTTGTGGAGAAAAATTATCACTCGAAAATCTTGATTGTTTGGTCGAAATATTTACACAGCCACCACTAACGATCAGGTTCACGCTCGAACGGAGGTAACTCGGGAAGTTGGCGATCCCTAATCAAGCGTTGTATGGGCGTCCATTGGCTTGCCAAACGAACGTTCAAGGGAAACGTTGCTACATCCTTCACAGGTTACGTACATTTACGTGAAAGAGCCTCAGGACGGAGGTACCCTAACTGAAATGTTCTCCACCACGTACTCAGAGTCAGCGTAGCCCAGAATCTGCGGCAGGTACGAACTGTACACGAGGACTTCAGCATCACGCGACCCACATCAAGAGATACGGTGGCGACGGGTGCTTACCTGTTGAGACCCTTGACGCGAAGTATCTGCGCAGAATTGTAGCTCGCAAGCCCCCGTCCAACCTCCACCACATCAGCATCAGCGTCCCGCTCCACCAACACAACGTCATCCTCAGAAAACGTGGCCAGCTTCGACATGCTCTCAGCAAGTGCACTCGACGACGATGATCTCGTCAGCGGCTCGAGCGAAGTCACGGACGAGGAGAGCGACGACGCCGCGTGCAGGGTAGGCGTCGTCGGGCGTGTGATCCCCAGACCGCTCGCATAGGCCTTGACACTGGCATCTGTCTCGGCGTCTCCAGATGAGGTCGTTCCGTCAGGCTGACGTCGGATCACTATCCGAACCGCCTGACCTGAGGCAAATGCACCGATTACGCCGACCACGCCGGCTGCGAGGAGACGCCCGCCGGATTCACGGCGCGAAAGAACGTGGTGCGCACCGGAGTCGATGATGACAATGCCTGACGGGAATAATGTGTGCGTGGTCCATGACTTGAGATCGCGCATCGGCGTGGAGGAGGCGGTAAACACCGTATGTGGCGGCCGCACCAGTGGAGTGGGTGATGCGCTGCGACTGGGGTTTCCACTTTGCGGTCGTGATTCTGGGCTTCCCTGGGAGGAGTCTACCTCGGATGGAGAATTGTTTGTTTTAGAGAAGGTATGATTGTGGTATTGGATGATCCCAAAGATATTTTCTGGCTTTTTGCTGGACAGGATGACCGTGGTGACCCCAGCTGCGGTGGCGATTTCAGCTGCGATGATTTTCGTTTCCATTCCACCCGTGCCGAGGCTCGATCCCAGCGTCGTTGTGCTAACTGTAGAAATGTTTCAGAATTCAGATGGCGGGAGAGTGGTTGGAGGAACACGACCTTCGGCGCGGATGGCAGATATGGAGTCCACAACCTCTATTTGTTTCGCCGAGGGATCTTTTCGTGGATTGGAGGTATAAAGGCCATCGACATCGGTCATGAGAAAGAGATAATCCGCATGGATCATCGACGAAGTAATCGCAGACAATGTGTCGTTATCACCAAATTTGATTTCCTGTCGCGGGATGTGTATGAGAAACAGCGAACAGTCAAGTAACACGAAATCACTCACGCTAACTGACACCGTGTCGTTCTCATTCACGATAGGAACTACACCCATGGAGAGGAGTTCCTTGAACGTATTGACCGCGTTGAGGTATCGCGTCCGCTGCCATCGCGAAATGTATGTCAGTGACTTTTAGAAGACCACCGTGGACCTTCGACACACATCCGATATGTCTCCTCGTGTTAGCAGCACTTGCGCGATCGGCTGGCCCAGCTGTCCAAATAGGTTGTCCCACAGCGCAATCAGCCTGCCCTGTCCGATCGCAGCCAAGGCCTACGTGGATTGACCTGGTCAATCGCGACGCGCTTTACACTGGATATTGTGGAATTGACGCACCTGTTTCCCGGATAGACTCTTTGGCCGGTTCGCAATGTCCATGCGCTTTAGTCCGACACCAATGGCGCCAGAACTCACCAGGACAACCTTGTGACCCTGCGATCGGAGATGTACGACGGTTTCGACAACGGAGGAGAGGGTCGAAAGAAGAGGTTGGTGTGTAGACTCATGGACGATGGAAGATGTTCCTGATATTCCACGATTTCAGATGACTCTGTTCTCTCTGCGATGTTCAATTGACCGCGTACCGAGTTTGATTACAATTGTACCTGGGGGACCATTACGCGTCCGGGAGGCCATCCTTCAGTGATGACGATGGATGAATGTGTTCAGACTAAGCCCTGTAATTGTACACAGGTTCTTCGCGTGTAGCAGGCAGCGTTAAGAAGATAGGATGAACGAGTCAGAGCGTCGGAGGTGATTCCAATTTCTAAACTTACGACGGATCAGGTCAAGGCCGAAATCTCCGAGTCCCGCAGATTCTCTGCAAGGTCATTCACAAACGGTTGCCATTGAGTATAGGGACTCCATGCCAGACTCCATGAATCGGCACTGGGGCGATGTTCTGGTAGAAAAACATTATGGACACCCAAAGCATCAACTTTTAATCCAAGCCGAAGTTTATTTTTTATTTTTAAGAAATTCATTGTTTTTGATATAAAAAAAAAAGAAACCCTATTCCTCCAAGTCATTGTGGCGTACCCAGACGTAAGGGAACGCCGTACTGTAAATGTCTGTCTATCTAGGTCGTCGCAAATCACTTGGAGAAAGCCAGATACTTCCTCAAAGCGCAAGTTTGAGGCTTATCTATCGCCTTAGAGCGAGAAACACGGGCGATAGGGCTATTCAGATAAATTGACCTTCAACGGTTCTGCTGACCTGGACGTGCCCCAAAAAACGCCCATCAGGCAATGCCACGTACCCGGATTGAACGAATGACCTTCTCATGTACATTGAATAGTACAAGTGAGACGCGCTACCACTACGCCAACGCGGCTTGCGGCGTATGCATATCATACAGTTTATCACGTATACATAAATTCCAATAAAGACTTGATTGGCCACATCGCGAACCGTTTAGTTTCTTATATTAAGCAATTCAGGACAGAAGTATTCAGGTTCGAAGAGCAAAGCGGCCTGAAATTTTACGTGGCACAATCACGTAGGGCTTCTTATAGCTTCCAGATTCGGCGGATATTAACCGACCTTAGCTCAGTTGGAAGAGCGCAAGACTGTAATAGGTAGCTTTCTAAGGCATCTTGATGTCGCCTGTTCGAGCCAGGCAGGTCGGATTGACAAGACTTCCGCTAGTGTGTCTTTTTGTAAAGTTCAACTGGGATGCCTTGTACATTCTCCACCCCTCAAAACTCTGCATATACGCAATTGGGGGTTGATGGAAGCCTTGATTTTCTGCAGATAGTCAAGGTATGCAATGTGATCGTGAGAGTACCTTCCTGTGGAACTTGCCGAAGTAGTTCATCAACGCGGCGTGATAGTATTGAAGTCATCAACAACATCCACAGCTGTCCGCTTTTGTCAATCTGCGGCGTAGGAAGTGAGTATGCAGTGTTAACGATGATGAACCTATGTCAATTTGTGCTTGGAAGCGTCATTTCTGAACCCGCAATTCGATGACATATCCAGGATAATTCCTTCCATTTCAGAGGGCTGCTGTCAGAGTATCAGCAGTAATACGTTGCTCATGGACGAGCTCGATTCTACTAAGTTTCATGTGGCGCAATTGTCGATATTCGCTCGACCGTTGCCGCCATCCTCACGCGTCATCTCTAGGTCATGCGCTCCTTAGATACTTACGGCCACTCACCTCCGACCATGAAAGGTTTGAGACGCACGACACTTGGGACGCTATAAAAAACTGCAGTCTGTGGTCGAGAAATCCTCATCCTCACAGATATTCTCTTCATAACCTCAGTGAACTCCGATCTCAGCAGAACATCTATCTTTCTGCTACAATGTCTTCGAAATCCACCATCTTCATCACTGCTGCTCTTCTCCTTGCAGTTTCTGCTAGCCCTTTGAACTTGAAGAGGGACGACGGCGACCACTATAGCGACCAGTACGGCGATGATGGGTACGGCCACCATAACGGGAAGGACGGCGAGAAGTGGTGAACCCGATGTTAGTATTCTTCTTCTGAACGACGAGAACAGAACCCTTTGCTATTCTACTAGCCATTTTGCCAGTGTCAAGTGTGCTCGGGATAGTATGACATACTCTGAACACTCCTTCCTATCACGATCTTCCAAGTTTTCCCGCATCTCCCGTCGTGTTTCACAATAGATGTGTACCTGTGATTGAATCTGACAGACACTTGTACTGCTCCGTTTGCGAGTTCACTGAGAGACTCAACCCTCATAGTGCTTACATTTTCAAGCTTGACGCGTTCTCAAATTTTGGCTCTCCACGTGCGAAACAGGCTTCCCTTGCAAAGTTCACAACCATGATACTCGTGAATGCTCCCAGATTATTTTCTTATCATACAAATGTCTATTTACTCCGTCTTCTAGGGATGCGCGTGAATCAACTTGATACCAAATACATCGTCAGATTTCAACTTCCCCAAACCAGCCACCACGCCGTTCAATCCATCCGGCAGCACCTCGACTCGGTTTGGCTAATTTGTCAAGTGATTAGAGCGGCGACACCGCGATATATAGCAAACGCAGTATATTGCAGAGGTCATGTTGGATTGTCAGTGTGTATTGAATGGTCCGCAGGATCACTGAGAACGCTGGTTTGCAAGCCCACGCTCATAGCCACGCTGTTCAGCTAACGAAATCTGTTTTGCAAGCTCCAAATCACGTTCAAAAGCTGCCTCGTCTTCAGCCTCGCTAGGGGATAGAGCTGGTCCATTAGAAGGCGTCCGCGGCGGAAGAGGGGGAGGTGAGATTTTTTTCGCAAGAGGAGTAGAAACCTTGTGCTTTGCGTCAGAGTATCCTTCGTTCGTAGTGCCAGCTTTGCGCTCCGCCTCGGCATCCTCCCAAATGACTTTCTCAACTATCTCTCGATACTTCGCCTTCCGCGCTTCCGTGCCGGTTTGCGCATCTCGGAACTTCTTGACTATGTCTGCACGTTGGGCGGGCGAGCTGGTCTTTACAGCCTCTCGGCCGTCCCTGAGGCGCGTCGAGCGGATTTGACTTTCCTGCTTTCTCCCAGTGGCAGTTTGCAGGCTCTTCCATGCGCCTTGGAAGGGATGTGCAACAACGCCTACGATGCCTGCGGCAGGTCGCACCGTAGCATTGACAACTGTGAAGGCAATAAGTACTAAGCCAAAGTATCAGCAAGCATACGCACAGCTTCTCGCCGAGCCCTTGACGGCACCAAAGAATCCCTACCGCAAAATAAGCATGATCAGAGTTCCAATGAAAGCGTCGAGGATGAACCTACTCCGGTCTTTGCCCCTTCGTAAGGTTCACGGACCAAACCGGTAATTCCGTCATAGTAACCATAAAACAGGCCCTACGGGTAACATCGTCTGATCACTGATAGCGCAAAACACTGAGCAAAAACTCACCCTGCCCGCCTCTTTCACACCACTCGTAAACCCCGTTACTTTGCCGGGCTGGCGTATTTTAGAGCCGTACAGCTTCGGTGCATTATATAGACCCTCATGAACGGAACCGAGTATATCCATGACACCGCGGGGGATGGCAGTCGTGGTGTGGATGATGCCTTTGACCGGGGAACTACGATCGTCCCTTATGAGCCGCGAGTCATCGACTTGAGAGCTGGACTTACTAGAAGATCTCCGCAATTCCCGCGTAATAGTGCGTTACCGTCCAAAAGATGGCGCTAGCGCCCCCCGACACGGGGTCAGAAACTTGCTTGCGACTGTTGTAGTCTTTGGTTCCTGTCGCAGATTCATAAAATGACGAACATTAGAATGTCTATGCCGACTTACTGTGGACGTCGAGGGAGTCCATATCAAGTTGTTTTGCATCGGCAAGGGTCTGCGCCGCAAATGCGCTGAGCTTCAAACACTGCCAGACAGTCAGAATATATACGAGAATGTGGGTGGATCTGATTTCGATACGCACATGGTCGGTAGACCACCAGACCGCCAGCCTCGAAGGATCCAGGTCGCATCTCATGTTCAAGAGTGGCAAATGACGGTAGAAACTTTCCACACCCCTCGTAACTCCGTCCTGCAAGAGCAAGGTTCCTGAACGACAGTTCAAAAGGCATAATCATTGGAACTCACCTCGCTATGAATTTCCTTAGCCATTCGGCTGGCAGCATGTTTCGCCGAAGGACTGATCACAAACTTGAGTGCATCCCGCAGATTATCCACCGTAAGTTCCTTGTGCGGTATCGGTTCAGGCCCTGCGCCCGCTTTATGAATCATAGCGCCTAAGACGGACATTAAACGATGGCAAGAACGTAGGAGGTCAGCGCTAACCCCAAAATCCCTGATCGCCAAAGAATGGCACGACAACTGTGGGACGCCCTTTGGCTAGGCCAACCGCGGTGGTTCCTGCGCCTCCGTGATGCACTACTGCGGAGACGCGCTCATGATCGAACAGCCAATCGTGCGGGACGTTGCCGAGGATGAAGACGTGGGATGGTACTTCTACGCCTCCAAGCCCGCCCTAAGACTCACATTAATTATAAAGCAACACATGGAGGGATAGTGGCCTACCCAACCTGCAGAAACCAAAGCACGGACGCCCGCTTGGGCGGTAGCATCAAATATCGTCTCTGAAAGTCGAAGTCAGAGGATGCAGGGCGCGTCTAAAGAGAACACACTGGTCATGGCTGCTGGATCGGAGACAACTACCGAGCCGAATCTGAACGTTATGAAGGGTGAGGGTTGTTAAACGTACACGTCAAGGATGAAATGAGAAAGTACCCAATGTAGACCGGAGGCTCCCCGGCGGCTAAGAACGCAGCAAGGTCGCGGTCTGGTGTAAAAGAGGTTGCAAGGTCCAGGAAGTAAAAGCCGACAACATCTACTCTCAAGTTCGATCAATCAAACACACATAGAAAAAAACGGACAGCTACGCACCGATGTGGTTCTTCCAGTCATGAGGTTTCGGCACCAGGGCGGGGCTCATGCAGTATGTCCATGGAACTTTGAGGCGGTCTACCAGTCCTGGACCAGAACGCAGAGTGAGGGGAGGTAAGCCTAACGATAGGGTTCGTAAATTGTTGACCAAATCGCCGATTCTGAGGTGCGCCGGTGTTAACATCGGCGAAGAGACGATAGGCTGGGAAACTCACCCTTGCCATGTAAATAGGTCAGCTATCGCGTAACTCAAGTAATTTGTTAGATCGTGTTCTGCGTTAGATTGCCTGATGTTGACAAGGGGATGCGGGAATGCTGCAGTGGGGCTCCTGTAGTACGAGTCTGTAAGCATGGCAAATATCGTGAGGCACTCCTTCAAATATCGTACCAGGGCATTGCTACACATACAAAGAGGGGCGGGTCAGTGATGACAGGCTAATACGTGGTTCGAACTCACTGAAGCTCAACAACAGTGGTATACCAAGAGCCTCCGCGCAGTGAACGTGTGCAAAAGCCGGCGGATTCGATATAATTGCGTCGGCAGCGAATGTCCATCCCGTCGACGGGCATGGAGAATGACATGAGTTCCAGCATCCATTCATCATCTATCAAGCTTTTTCGTGAGTCCACCCCGGCCGATGTAGAACTGGCGTAAGTACCTCTGTAAGCATCTTGCGCTTCCGGCTAATGTCGCCATTAGTGAGTGATTCGAACCCAGGCATGAGACCAGGGTCTGCACAGCCATAAGCATAGGCAGCGACGGAAAGATATGGGTCGAACTCTTGACCATATAGCTCATCAGATCCTGTGGATTGCCTCCAATGTCGAAGAACTCCAGCCCGGCTTCGGTCACGAAAGCGCGGAATGTTTCGTGCGTAGCAATGCGAACGCGATGGCCGTCCTCAGATAGTCGTTTTCCCAGCGCGACATACGGTTGAACATCACCTGTATAGTCATTTAGTGCTTATTTT